GAGAGTGTGTGAGAGAGAGAGAGAGAGAGAGAGAGAGAGAGAGACTGCTCTCCTTCCCCTTTTACGATCGACTATCTCGGCGCGGCCGCCATCTTGACGGGGAAGGTCGGCCGGAAGGTCAATCGCACGCAGAAGACAATAGCCGGCGAGGAGACTCGAGACCCTTCCGTCGACTCGCGGGGATGAAAAGCAGGAAAATCGACCGGCTCGTCGGCGACTCGCGAGAGCGTATACGTCCCCAGCAGCAAATTTTACACGGCCAAGCCGCGAATTCTGCCGCGGTTAGCGCGTTCGGGCTAAATTGTCGACCGTCGCGGCTTGCAGCCGCGCAATCTCCAAGTCGCGCGACGCCCCGCGGTGCATCTGTATGCACGCGGAGGACGAAGGACGAGAGAGCGTGCACTCGTGTGTGTCGCGCAATCTGCCGCGGATCGAGGGTGAGGGATAAAGACGAGCGGGGGTGGGCAGGGGGGATGCGCGAGTACGGAGAAATCCACGGTCCCCGCCAAGGAGCAGAGAGCAACGACGTCTTTCTCCTCGTCGTCGACGGCGACGACGACGACGACGACGACGACGGCGTCGGCGCACGGCAGGGTGGGCGGGTGGCCGTAATCTAATTTGCGATGCAATCTAGAATAACAATGGTTTGCGTCGCGGCGGAAAGGGGCAGGCGTGACGACGGTACGAAACGCATCGCGTCGCCGGGGAGGAGGGAACTTTCCACCGTCGCCGCCGCCGCCACCGTCGTCGTCGTCGTCGTCGTCGTCGTCGTCGTCGTCGTCGTCGTCGACTACTCGACGTAATCACGACGCGGCGGCACCGGTAACTTCCAAATTAAGTTCCCGCCGATGCCGATGGAAACCGAAGCGCGATGGACCCGCCGTCGTTCTTCCTAACCTCAAGGCTTCGCCGAGGAAGCTTCCGCGCGCGCCGATCGATGCCGGCGAGACCGGCATCTCTCGCCACCGCTGGCGATACGCGCCGCTGAGCGCACCGGTGCATTGTGCCACTTAGGCGGATTAAGCGCTTCATATCGAGCAAATTAGGCGGGGCTACGCGTTATCCGGACGCGTTCGTGAAAACGCGTCATTGGAAAGCTCGCCGATATCTCGTGCGATTTTTCCGACGGGTTCGCTCAACGCGAGAGACCGAACGCGCGTTTGTGGCAAATAACCGGGTCGAAATTCGGCGGAGGTTACATTTAACCTGCACATTCCGTCGAATTTGAAGCGTCGATGGACAATTTGAGAAAAAATAATACACACAGGCTATTGGTTTACCTTGACGCTACGGTTGTTTACTTTCGCCACGTCGCGGGCTCGAACAAGCGCAGAATCGCTTCTTAAATTTTTACGCCTCGATAAATATGTCAAATAATTAACATGTATATAAGTAAGAGAAATAATAAATGCAAGACATTTTACTGTCTCATAATATTGCTTATTATCTTTTCTCAATGGCGCCAGGAATTTCGATAGAATTCGATTGAGTGGAAAGAAAAGAGTCGCAAGATCAGAAATGTCAACTGTGCAAACATCAACAAAGATTTACGCTTGAGCTCGATACGAACGCGAGATTAAACACAAGTGAGAAGAGACGAGAGTTGTAATTCGCAACGATATCTCTCTCGTACGAAAGAAAAACACACAAGATTGAAGAGCAATCAGAGACCAACAAAGTTGTACTTATTTTTCAAATGACATCAGCCCTAGATTTCTTTCTAAACTTCTGAACTTTCTAAACTTCGACCTGGGTATATATATTTTATTCTCGGTCAAGTCGTGCAAGACTCGTTGCAAACGCCTGCGTAACAATTAAGTGATTCGACATACCTGAGAAAAAAACATGTTGATTTTTATTCTCGGCCAAGTTGCGTAAGACCGTCGCAAACACGGAAGCATTCTGCACGTAACAAGTGCAATTCGACGTACCTGGAAATGCACGAAGCACCGCCGGCCGCGCGTCGACATCCTGCGTCCTCCGTCCTGACCTCCCGACCCGTCATCCTGGCTCCTGGCTGCTCCGTGGCGGCGGCGGACCGCCCACTGGACACTCGCGACACGATTCGCGTTCGGAGAAACGCGCGTTAATTAGCGCGATGCCGACGGCAAAGTCGATCGGATCACGCGAAAGGTAAACAACGCATCGACACACGTGCTCTCGACAACGTCGCGGTGCGTCTGTGCGTGGTGTTCGCGCGTCACCCGCTCGTCGGCTCGAGACGTAATGACGCGGCGGTCACGGAAAAGTACGCGAGGCGCGACGATACCAAAACAATCGGCAGGAAGTGCAAAGTCACCTCCCGCCACTCGCCGAGCCTCTACCAATCGGCGACGACAGCATATTCGGTGGCCACGAAATCACGACGCGATCTCTCGAAAAATTTCGCACCACCTCCCGAGGTGGTGGAACGAACCAATTATCCGGACGGTTTCCGATGCCCGGCTTGGCAGCGACGACGGGTGCAGGGCGCAGGGCGCAGGGGCTGCCTTCAGGACGAAAAGCGGGACGCAGAATGCGGCGACACACGCAAGTTCGTCACACACTTCGTTTCCTGTGTTTCTCGAATTTTAGTAATAACGACGAGATTACGACGGGACGGACAGAAAGATCTCGTTCAAAGTGAATTTTATCGAAAACGAGTCTTATTTATGCCCCGTTGCACTCGACCCGTTAATCTATATTAAATTACTTAGCACTTGCTTACCGCAATTTGCTCGATCAAATGCAGTTGAATACCTCGTACAATTAATACGTAACTTACCGAAATTAAGGAAGATTACAAGCAGATGGGAAATTAGGATAATTGAACGGTAGTTAAATGTCGAGCGATTTTTTAAGAATAATAATAATAATAATAATAATCATTCGCACCAACAGCCCGTGCAGTGTCGCGCTTCGAGATTCTCCGACGGTGCTTTAAGCTCGACGGAGAATCTGGCAGGGTTTCCATCCTGTACAGAACCGAGATTTCGGCTCGGCTAGATATTTCCGAAACGTTTCATGTTCGCGTTTTATATTCCGAAACGCTTTATCACGTCGGATCGTTTCCGAGCAATTTTGCGAACGCGGAAGCACTCTGTCAGTCCTCGCGGTGTCCTCGTTGGAAACTACAGCCATGGCAATATCGACCACGGCTGCAGGTGGAGTTTTGTGAATCACCCCGCTTGTCCTAGATTCGCTCTACTCGCCGCTATCTCGCGCGTTATCGCGCGCGCGCTTGGAATAATTGAACCAAGATGAAAGGGTGGTCGCGGATGGACGCGGAAAAGCGGAGGGAACGAGCCTGTGTGCAAAGTCAGCAACACCGTACTTTTCGAATGCTGCCATCTTTTCTTCAATTCCGCCACATTGTGATCTGCGGGTCTGTGCCGCGAATTAGAAGTAACTATTTCTACAGCGCATCAATCGCATTTCTGCCCCCAAAGTTGACCTTGGGAGCATTGCTTGGGATAAATTTGGCTGACCTTGGGCGTCCCTGAGCAACCTTGGTCGCTCTTCTTTATGTTCTCCGATACGATTCTTTGAGCTACAGAGCTGCGCTTTGCGGCACAATAGAGCACAAATGCGGCACAATGCGGCGCAAAAAGATAGAATTCAAAAAGTGCGCGGCGAACTTCACTACACAGGTAGGGAACAAGGAGCTGTGCGCGGTCTGCTGATCCGAGCCGAGCTTTTTCGAGCAAGCGAATGAGGAACGAGAGATGAGAGAGAGAGAGAGAGAGGGGAGAATGGAGGGAAAAAACACACGGCAGATAGCGCAGCTGCGCCACCATCCTGGCCGAGATTAGATATCGGGAGCTTTTTCCTAGGCAGCCTTCGACGTTCCACGAATCGCGTAATAATCTCGTCGAAGGACGACAACGTCGCACGATAACCACCTCCGCTGGATGAGAAATCGCGCTTCCTTTTGCCCCCTCCCCCCCAGCTTGCCTATCATCGTCTAACCTTTTCCCTCGTCGGCGAGTCGTCGCTACCGTATTCAGAGACGATGACGACGACCACGACGACGACGACGTATTCGTTCGAAAAAAAAAACGCTAACGATAGTGCGCAGTGTCTTTTGAACTCGTTGACGCGCAATATCAAGAAAGAATGTAATAAGAGCGATGAAAGATCGCGAGACGCGCGAGAGGAGAACGCGGTGAGAATGCAACGAGATCGGGGATCGCCCCGAGGAACGCGACGTCTACGCTCGTCGACACTTTCTTCGAGTCGTTATTTGTGAAAGGAGAAATAGAGATAGAGAGGGGGAGAGAGAAAGAGAAAGAAAAAGAGACGTTTGACCGAGCTCCCTCTCCCTCTCTCTCTCTCTCTCTCTCTCTCTCTCTCTCTCTGCCTCTCCCCTCTTCCGTCTCTTTCTCTTTTTCTCGGTCAAGACCGCTAAAATTAGCGGACACGCGCGCGCTCTCGACGAAGACGCGGAAGTTTGCCGTTCGGTTTTACTTCCGTTACTGAGAGGCGAAACGACGCGATAAGCTATATATAAATTTATCAGTGATGCAACTCGCAGCGCGCGCATTCCGCCCGTTATCGCGATGATCCTCTTCAGTGTTTACCATCGGACACTTTGCCCCCTCCCCCCTCCCCGCTCCCCCGATAGAAACAAATGCGCGCGCCTACTTCTCACGAGTCGCGTTATTTGCTTGTCGCAACAGAGTTGTGCCAACGCGCGCGCGCGCGCGCGCGCGGTTATCATAATCTGCTTCAGCGGAAGCTTCGAAATGAGATTTCCGCACGGTTCGAAATAACCAAGCGATCGCTTCCTCAAATATCCCGCGCATCATCTGCTGTGTACCTTCGATCGCCGCTCTCGATATCCGCCGCTATTCGACGCCACTTGGTCTCACATTCGACCAATCCGCCGACTAAGTTATTCGCTCAGTGTGATAATCGCAATCCTGGGCGATGCGCAAACCCTTCTTCCTCAGAGTCTCGCACGCAGCGCGAGACAAGATCCGACCTGCGTTATGATATATCGTGTCCGAAGGAGTACTCACCGGTGTACCAGGATGACGGCAGTGATCCTGCAGCAGGAGGCAGCGTTGTAACGGCGGCGGCGGCGGCGGCGGCGGCTCCTCGCGACGATGACGGTGGCGATGATGATGCCGATGGTGGTGGAGGATCGAGGCGGAAGCGGAGGAGGCAGAGCCGGGAGGGACCGGCTCGTGCACCAGCAGCCGACGATGATGGAGATGACGCGATATCGTCGCCAGGACACCCACCAGTGCCCCGACTATCAGCACGAGCGCCGTCGAGACGATGTAGCCGCTCGCACCCACTGCAAACGAAAATCGGACTCGTCAGCGGTGATCGAGAGCGCGAGATCGAGAGAACTTGCTGACACGTCGTCATCGCGGAATCCGCGACCTGCGCGACCTGCGCGCCGGAATTATCGCGAGACAGCGAGAGACTGATCGAATTGAACATGGCCTCATCAATGTACCGCTCCGATACTACTCACGAGGATACACTACGTGAGACTGAACGACACCGTGTAGAATATGCGTCTAGCTTTCTCGTCCTTTTGCCGCCGCGTCGGAAAGAAATCGCGCACAATATCATGCACGATCACGATGTCAGCCGATCGCAGCGTCCCATTCCTGCGCCAGCGGAATAAATAATTGACACGTGGAAACGATTAACGCTATTTTCCGCAAACGTGCTATCGTCAAGGACGCACTCGCGTGACCAAGAGCGTAATCATGCTCGTAAAGACGCGACGCGTCTGCGAGCGTGCGAGCGAGCGAGCGAGCGAGCCGCCGCCACGTGTTATCGGCTGCATAATTTGTCGCAACGCGGCTAAAACGCGCCGCGTGGACGTACGCGCGAAACGCGCGTACACACATCGCGTGGCGTGCGGTAATAAATCCGTCACCGGAGAGCGGCCAATTAGTCACTAATTAGCGTCTGATTATACGATAAATTCGGATTCGGTTCGCGGCGAAATGCTAAACGGAGGTGTTAAATCCCCTCTGTCTCGCGGCGCTTCGCCGACGTTTCCACGAGTCCTTCGTAAAGAAGAGAAAAAAGAAGAAAAAAAAAAAAAAAGAAACCGACCGCCTGGTCGCCTGCCGCGCGCACGCAACTTTAGAACCTACGAGGATTTGTATTCCCTCGTTACACCTTGCCATTTTTGTCAGCTCGACAAAACATAATAGTCATATCCCGCCAATGGACCGATTGAATCAAGTAACGGACACGCACGTCGAGAGAGAGGAGAGAGAGAGAGAGAGAGAGAGAGAGAAAAAGAGGGGGAGAAAGAGATCGTTATCAAGAAAGAAATTCATCGAATTATCGAGCGGATCTATGAGGCGATTGACCGAAATCATTCAACGCGCGTTGAGAAGCGACGCGGAAGATCCTCCTCCGAAGGAGAAGAGAAAAGAAAGAGCGAGAGAGAGCGAGCGAGAGAGAGAGAGAGAGAGAGAGAGAGAGGGGTTGTCTCAGACGGGGACGAGTTGAATCACCTCCAACGCGATCGCGATCTCGCAAGTCTTTCTCTCGTGTACCGCGCGCGTACGTACAGCCCGATGGCGAATCGCAGCGGCTTCGTCAACGTCGGCAGGCAGGTGCATCGAGATCGAGAGAAGCAACCGCATCCTCCATCGGGCTAACCCATCTTCCCCCCTGTCCGGCCGTCCGTCTGTCTGTCTGTCCGTCCATCCATCCATCCATCCGTCTCTCTCTCTCTCTCTCTCTCTCTCTCTCTCTCTCTCTCTCTCTCTCTCTCTCTCTCTCTCTCTCTCTCTCTCTCCCTCCCTCCCTCCCTCCCTCTCTCTCTCTCTCTGTTTCTCCGTCTCTCTCGCCAACTTCTCTCGGTAGCGACCGCAGAACAGGGCTCAGGTCTCTGGCTTCGTCCGACGGCCTCCGTCCGTCGCTTCCTTGTTCTCCTCCTACCGCGCGCGCGCGCGCGCGCGCGGCAGGGACACGCGTGTCCGTGCGCGTGTCTCGGCTCGAGGAGATACCGTCCGAACACACGGCGCGGCCAAGAGCCGACGAGGAGGAGATTGAGAGCAGGGACGGCGCGAACGTTCGCCGGTCCGGCCGGTCGCGACTTCCCTCGAGTCTCTCGAGTCTCGACAGCGTTTGAGCCGGTACCGTCGTGAGAGAGAGAGAGAGAGAGAGAGAGAGAGAGAGAGAGAGACGTGAGAGAGCGGAAGGATAGAGCGGCACGACAGCGAGAGATCTCGGGTCCTTGTTTTCGAAGAATGATTGCCTCTTTCGCTCGCGAATACTAATCCCGGAGCGGCCGCGTGGATGACATGTGTGTCAAGCAGCCGTCCTTTGCGATATCTCTCGCTCCCCGACGATGAGATTCGCGATCTCGCGCCAAGTAACGCTACAATATCATCTCTCTCGTCTCGAGACGACGAGAGCCGCAGACGGACGCGAGACATTCTGACGAGAAGTCGCCAATCATTCAAGTCCCCGCCGGCCGCGGGCCGGTCGGGTGAGAATGTTAAAAATCATCGTTGGCGTGCGAACAGCGATTGCGTTTTGAAGGCGCTCGGCGAGCCATTCCTCGGCTACCGTCTGTCTCTTCCTCACACATTCGCAGGGGGAACCGGCGAAATCGACACACTTCTGCAAAAACGCCCGAAAACTCTGCCTCGCCAAATGGACGCGATCGTCTCAGTCATGTCGGGATACGTCATCGGAAATACTCGACGTCGATATTTTGCAAGCGAAGCATCACGAGTGTATTCACGCCGGCCCTGATTGAGAGCGAGAGCGAGCGAGCAACTGAGAGATCGAAAGAACAGGGGAAGGAGAGTGAGAGAGAGAGAGAGAGAGAGAGAGAGAGAGAGAGAGAGAGAGAGAGAGAGAGAGAGAGAGAGAGAGAGAGGCAAGAAAGGGAGCGAAGGAGGAGGAGGAGGAGGAGGAGAAAGAGGAGGTGGTACGTCGACCGAGGTGAAGAGGAGGTGAGGTGAGCCGTGCAGAGCATGCGGTGCACCAGACAAAAAACGATGAGTGGCGGTGGGGGCCAGACGGGGGGCAAAAACACGCGACGAGGCCCAAAGCCTAGGCGCTGCGGGCCCCTCGTTTGAACGACTCTCCCTCTCTCCCTCCCTCGTCTTCACTCCTCTCCGGTTTGGTACGAGCGCACGACGTTGTGTATGTCCGCGAGCGCATATGCACTCCGCGGCTCCGCCGAGTGCATCCACGAGTGCATCGCGTGCATCGCGATAGCAAGAGCGAGTTGGGGATGTCGAAAAGAGGAATCGACAAGCTAGCGAGCGATCGATCGATCGATCGATCGATCGTTTGTTCGTTCGTCCGAGTTACCCACGAGAGATTGCATTGAAGTGCAATAAAACTTGGCCGATGATCGATTGCATTTTTCTCGGGAGTCTGTACTTTTTGTTACTCTTATTTTTTTATTTTTAATAGAATTATTGTACGAAATTAAAATTGTACGAAGAGCGATACACGCCATCGTCGCGGACAATTCGCGCGTGTCGTGGGGACGGGTTGTAGGAGCAAAAAAGGGGACATTAGAAGGAGCTGTATGTTATAACGTTGAATTGCCCATGGAAATTGTTACGCTCCGCGATCGTTCCCGAGTCGCGTCGTCGCGTTCCGGGTTCGCGATTCGACTAGCTTAACGAGGACTATCAACAACAACGCACGCACGTACCATGTATGTGCTCCGTCGGGAGGGAGCGTGACTGCGAGGGCTCTCGGTCTTATCTTGAGCTTTCTTGCTCTCTGTTATCGCGTCCTCTCCGGGTTCGCCGCTCTTTGTGCTGTCTCGAGTGCCGCCTATTTGGACCGCGAGACAAAGAGCGCATCGCTCCGCATCGCCTGGAGAAGAAGACTAGCGGCCTGGACGAGACAAGGTGCGCCGTACCAGGATAGATTGGAAAATAGAGTCAGATAATAGGCGCAGATGGAAACGAGCAAGAGGGAGAGACAATATACGTCGTCGACGTCGTCATGGTCTACGAGTAGAGGAGGCAGCAGACTCGCCGCGCGCGCCACGGCCTTCGTCGCGCGGTCTTCGCGCTGCAAACGCAAGAGGAGACTCTCCCCCCTCGCGAGTCGTCTCTGACTTGCGAGATGTTAATTAGCGAAAGTAATTCGCGGAAGACTTTTAACGATGAATTAAGCAGCGCCGCGGGCCGCGTTACTTAAACGGCCGGCTCTCTCTCTCTCTCTCTCGGTCCCTCTCGCTTGAAAATCTTCAACGACGGATTCACCGGCGAGTCGTCGCGAGAAGTCGACTTCTCGTCCTCCTCAAGTAAGAATGTCGGAAACGTCGGCGACATTCGGCCTTTCGCCGTCTGCGAACAATCGCGTTGCCGCCGTGCGACTCGCGATATAATCGCACGTCAGCCGAACGAACTGCGTCTTCGATCGCGGTCATCTGATCGCGCAGTCCTTATTCCACGATTTTCGGCGGGATACGGCGGCGCGCTCGGTGAAAACAGATCGCGGACACGGCAGTGACTGAGGGAAGGGGGGAGGGGGAGGGTAGAAGGGGGAATATAAAATCGAGAAACGATGGCACGTTCGCGGACGAGCCGGCGCGCGTCTACCCGGTGAAACGCGACGCCAGACTAAACACTAATACGGATATCGGATTCCGAAAGACGCTTAAACAATGACATTTTTCCCTTTTTAAACAGGCCCCCGCGCGCGTTCCTCGCGCGGCTCGCGTTTCTCCTGACGCGTCCTGTTGCCATGTGTGTTCCGGCAATATTCGCGGGATGTCAGAAAAGTGACGGTCAACTCCTCCGACGGTCCGACGGTTCCGTTTCTCTGCGAGGGACTGTAACGCCGCTACTTTGTCAACTAAATCACGCGGCAAAGGGTTTAATGTCTCTCTCTCTCTCTCTCTCTCTCTCTCTCTCTCTCTCTCTCTGCGGCAGAATCTCGCTCCGACGAGGACGACGAGACGAACGTACGCAGTCACGAAGCGAGACTCGGCGGCGCGGCGTGACGCAGACGGAGAGTCGGCACAGACCTCGCATGCATCCAATGAGATCCAAAGGGGGCGAGAGGAGGGAAACGAGGAGGAGGAGGGGGAGGAGGGAGACGGCTCTCGTGATTCCTCCGCCGCTATTGTCCCGTCTGTGCGACTCCTCGTTAAGACGTCTTTAATGATCGCTCTTCAACGGCGATCCACGGCTGTCGAAGTTGGCACACGGAACGTCCTTAACGGTACCCGTCCTCGGCTTATCCTCCGCACGGTCGCGAGCGATCTCGTCTTCGAATCGTCGTCGTCGTCGTCGTCGTCTCGTCATCGACCAATCTTTTTCTCTTTTTCTCGAGTCG